TAGATGTGCTATCTACTAAATCACAGCAAAACTGTTTAATCATACCATAATCATTACTATAGAATCAAGCAGACCAATTCACTTAAACTATTAGTAACTTTGAGGAATCACCATATGATTTAAATAGTATTACAAGTTGATGAGATGAAGGCTTATCCACATTTAGATTGGCCTCAACATTACTTTGTTGTTCTAAATAGAAAACCCATTATTGGCCTTTTACAGTCTAAGTGTACTTGAACTAATGCCAATTTGTTAGTCGGATAACATGCATTGTATAGCGTGCAACGCTCCGTCTATCGTGTTTTAGTCCATCACTAACATGTACAGTGGCTTGTGGTGATATGGACTTAATGTAATCTACCAAAGATAATAAGACGAACTCTTTGAATAATTCAAAACATAACAATTTATTAGTCAGGTAAATGTGTATTATGCCAATTCATTCAGTCGATTCATAAAGGATCAATACAAGACATCAAATTATCAAAGATAAATCCGAGATTAAAAGATGCATACCTGACTTCAAAATATACATAGAATGGAGCAATAGAGCTCCACACTATGGGCTGATCTAGTTACAGGATCACGCCTCCCCTTAAGTAGTACTTCCAAGAATCCCCTCGAGGAAAGGGGTGTGTCGAATAACAGAAGGCATTTGCATTTAGTGGAAGAGTTTCTGGCACACTCTTCACAGTGGTTCAAAAAATACTTGAAGTTATATATCTATTGTTTTGATTATGTCTAATTCTGAGGGAATGAGACCATTGTACCAGTCACACTGAGACATTTCAAATGATATCAAACATGGCAGATAAAGTCATTTGGGTTGATTTAGAACATTCAGACTTTGAAATGACTTTCTTTGTGAGTATAGTATGTAGAGAGTGTGCGTGAACTGGGGTTGCAGGCATGCTTCACATGTAAATGAAGGAAAGGAGAAGGGCTGGTTTTCCCGCATTCCTACCTGCTGGGTTGTGGAACCGATTGTCTCTGTGTTTTCAGCTCATTATTTTAACTGTCAAAGACAACAAAATATTTGTGGTATCTCAAGTCTTACACTACTTTTTTAAAATGCATACATAAAAACATTATAAATATACATAGCACAATATAAATAAATGTGATTTTAATATGAATTTCAGCAAATAAGCACCCTTAATGTGTTTTTTCCTTTATTAAGATGCTCATGGTAATGTTTACTTTCACCATTTCATTTAGGGAAACTCCTGAGATAAATAAGTTATATCTCTGAATTTAACTAATTATAAACCTATACAAAATGATGTGCTTTCCACCTTCAGTCGCAATGACTTCTGGGACTTCTAGAGCGAGATCGGTGCTCAAGTCTGCATCAGTGTGTCCTCAATATCAAGAACACATCTGGGAAGTTTCACGTGTCCTCTGTTCTTGCAGTCTTGGGTAATGAAACTGAACTTTGGCAGCTGATGATGAAGTTACATGACAACACGAGGATGCAAGACCGCTGAAGAACGCATATTGAGAACAGTTTTGCCAACTTTGTCGTTATATTTAACGACTTTTCAGACCCCTCTAGTGACCACTTTTTAAAAATAGCGACTAGCAACAAATCTAGTGACTTTTTGTGTTACTGGAGATTTTTATAGACTCTCGAGTGTCTGTACTGTACCGTCCATACTCAACAGTGGCATTTCCACTGTAAGGCCAGTGCGAGCCAGGGCTTTTATCGGGCCTGGGCCAGGCTAATCGCCTTGGAGGTTGAGTACTGAGACCAAAATCATGTCGCGTTTCCACTGTTGGGCTAGTAGCTCGCAGATCGTCATGCAAACCCCACCCCCAGAATGTACCCCGAATCAAACGTCACACAGCCCGCCCACTTCAGCGGAAATCAAGCAGATCAAGCACACCATCACATCATAACGAAACGATTCAAATAAAGACAACTGAAATAAACAAATGACACGTTACTGTACAGCATTATATTATATGTCTATATGCACAGGCCTATGTATTTTCATTCATTATATTAATTTACTTGCCAACCAACTGCTGGCATCGTGCATTGAGTGGTCTCGCAACTAACGGAGGGACCCAGCGCAGTGAGTGCACCCATAATATATAACTACAGAAATGCTCTTGTAATAACTTGGTATGAAATGATTTTACAACATCTTCGTTTTGCTAGACATCTTCAAACATTTAGCCCAAATGCTCCAGATTTTTCCCTATAGGCTATATGACACTTCCAAGTAATCCCACTTTTTTTAAGGATGTTGCATATCATTCAGTGATCTTCAGTAAAGTGTTAAGTGATTCAAGAGCAAGCAATAAAATATAGGCTATATATCCTTGCGCTCAGCAGCTTTTCACTCATAAAGCTCTACATGTATTTAAAATTTCATTTTTATATTTTACCACGTCATATAAAAACATAAACAATTGTTTGAGGACACAGAACACATTATGTTTTTGCATTTTTCCACGATGCGTTTGTAAAGCGGCGCTGCGCAGGACTGGATGACAGAAAAAAGGTAGCGTAGTTTCTGCTTTCATTCACCCAAAAAATGCTTTGTTTGCACGGTTTCATTAATATCATCAAATCCAAATACTTTATAAAAATATTTCAAACCTCCTTCGGTGTTTATTGTTTTTAGAAAATATCTCAAATCTTTTTTTCAGAGAGGCCTTAGTAAACTGAAAATTTAATATGGTGTTAAAACGGTTTATTTTTGTATAGTATATACCTACATTATTCTTACTGTCGTCTATGCTTATGCTTATGCTGTCGTTATATTGTCATCTTTACTGTTGTATATGCTGTCGTTATATTGTTGTCCTTACTGTTGTCTATGCTGTCAGCATCCTTACTGTTGTTTATATTTTTTTAGAGGCATTACAGGTTTCATGGGAGCATTTTGAGCAGAGACACCATTGATATAACCTGGTCTTCAAGAAATCTTTTTCAAGGACAATTTTCCTGTATTTACAATAAATAGTTGTTTTCCAGTGAATGTCTTTTTCTTTTGGTTTGATTAATAAAATCAGTATATAATCAATAATATTAGTATTGTTGTCAAACATGGGTTGGGAAATATATTTTTTAAATAATAGCAAATTTATAGGCGTGATATGGACTTCAACTTTACATACATAGGCTGCTAATAAAAACCCCATATTAGAGGAGGGCAGAGGGCTCAAAAATATGGAGTTCCATTTGTGCCAAAAATTCCCATGCCTGCTTTCTGCCTTGTACTTCACATTTGACGTCTACTCTTATTGCCTGCATGTTCAGGAAAATCAGCATTATAGACATACATGTTGTCTGTTGATGTCATCTTAATCTTTTGTCCTGTCGGTTTTTCTCTGTTTTGTATCTTATTATATCGGGTTTTCTGTCATCTGATCTGTTGTCCTTATTGTTGTCAATTAATCTTTACTGTCATCCTTACCGTTGTAAATGCTGCCATCTTTATGGTCGTCTGTACTGTCATCCTTGCTGTCATTTTTATTGTCATCCTTACTGTCGTCTATGCTCTCATCCATGCTGCAGTTTATTCTGTCATCCTTATGGTCGTTTATACTGTCCTCCTTACTGTCGTCAATCTATTTTAGAGGCATTACAGGTTTTAAGGGAGCATTTTGAGTAGAGACACCATTTTGACATAACCTGGTCTCTAAGAAATGTTTTTCAACGACAAAAAAATAGTATCTTTTTTCAGTGAATGTCTTTTTCTTTTGGTTTGACTAATAAAATCAGTATATAATTAATAATATTAGTATTGTTGTTAAACATGGCTTGGGAAATTTTTTAAAAATATTTCATAGGAGTGATATGGACTTCAACTTTACATACATAGGCTGCTTATAAAATGATATATACTTATATTAGTCCAGGGACATTTTATAAATGTACTTTAAAAAAAAAAGTCTTTATTAGTGTATATGCCTTGTTCACATTTGGCAATTTCCATAATTATAGCAATCATGCAGAGATAATGGATCATAACTTCTTCAGATAACAGAACAAGTCAACAAAAGGATGATTGGATTAGAAGTCAATAAAGACGACAGCATAGACGCAGGGCCGGAGCAAGCTGAACTGCCGCTCTAGGCAGAGGACGATCATGCCGCCCTCAACCCCAATGTGAAAACGAAAGTGACCGGTTATGAAAATAAAGTGAGGTGTCGCGGACCTCTTTTCCAGCGCACTATGCGCGGATATAACTGAGGACGCGCAGGTGCTGAGGGAGGGAGGGAGGGAGGGAGGGAGGTGTCGCGGACACTGCGCTCTCTATTCTGCCGCCCTATGCGCAGATATAACTGAGGACGCGCGGGGGTCGCAGAACTCTATTCTGCCGCCTAGGTCGCCTCTATGGACGCGCTGGCCCTGCATAGACGACAGTAAGGATGACAGTATAACGACAGCATAGACGACAGTAAAAACAATAGCATAGATGACAGTAAGGATGACATTATAACGACAGCATGGACGACAGTAAGGATGACAGTATACACGACAGCATGGACGACAGTAAGGATGACAATATAACGACAGCATAGACGACAGTAAGGATGACAATATAACGACAGCATAGACGACAGTAAGGATGACAATATAACGACAGCATAGACGACAGTAAGGATGACAATATAACGACAGTAAGGATGACAGTATAAACGACAGCATAGACGATAGTAAGAATGATAATATGACGACAGTACGAATGACAGAACAGACGACCATAAGGACGGCAGCATATACAACAGTAAGGATGACAATAAAGATGAATAGACAACAATAAGGAAAACAGATGATAGAATACCCCTTATAATATGACAGTACAAAACAGGAAAAAAAAAACAGCAGGACGACAGATTAGGACGACATCAACAGAGAACAATTACGTCAACAATGCTGATTTTCCTGAACATACGTGCAATAAGAGTACGAAGACAAATGTGAAGTACAAAGCCGTAAGCAGGCATGGGAATTTTGACACAAATGGAACCCCATAGCCACCTGCTCTCGTCTACATTGCAGTCAAGGCGAGGTGCATCTCAAAGTAGTTGTCAACAGGGATTTAGAAACAGCCCATTTATGAGAAGTGGTATTGAGTCATCTGAGCGAGACACGGGTTCCATCTGTGAGGCATTGTGAAGTGCGGGGTAAAGGGTTTGGCAGGTAAGTTGTTCCTTGACGGCATATTTGTAACTACCCATGTATGTTTGATATTAAGTCTGTGATGTTGTTAATGACCCGCGATCGACTGCTTTAGTTAAGTTTACTAAGCTTTAGTTTCCGTGTGAAACAACAGTGAAAGTTCTGGCATCGGCATCGCGGCTAATCCCGATGTCATCGTTGGCATCTTGTTGTGTTTGATTATGATTCAGTGTACTATATTCCACATTTGTTATGCCTTATGCTGTCACACGTCCTTTATATAATGCAGCTTTTGTAATCTATGTCAATTTTCTGTTTACACCCAGCATACATTAGTCTGCTGACTGCACTTTAAGAGAGCTGCAAATACTGTATTGTTTGTAACGGGGATATTTATTGTGTCAGTACATAAACATTTTTTGTGTTTGATATTTTATTAATTACTTATACTTATTGTTCATCGCAGAAAACTACCTCCTTGCTCACAATAAAAGGTGGAAAATATCTCCTGACTCCTACTCCTTAATCAGAGTGCTGAAGTGGTCAGCAACATTGAAGAACCGACATGCTAAATTAAGCAATACCCAACAGCATATATTTGCTGAGGACCATATTTAGTTTTATCAGTCAATAGGGATGTACCAGGGTTGCTCTGGTAGAAAACCAACTATCTGTTACCATAAACAAGAAGACGGAACAAGATCAAGACTCGACTCTTTCCACTGCATTGACACCTCAACATGGGTAAGATTTTAATATCTATCATGCATATTACATGTTTATGGAAACTTTTCAGAATATAAATACAAGATTGTTTATAACACAGACAATGCACAGAGATAATGTAAAATCCATATAATTAAGCACAAGATACACATTTACTTTGTCAAACAAATGACCCTTCATACAAAGATGTGCTTCTAATGAATCCACACACTGCAAATGCAAAATTATTCAATATAAAAGACTAATTATTGGTTTTATTCTAATGAGGTTTTATTAAAATGTTTGAGAGGAGCATGATCAGATATACTCTAATAGCTAATAGTTCAGAAATTTGCAGCACAATGACACACTGACAGTCCTTTCTGTGTTCCCTTGTTTAGAAAACAGCAGTTTTGGGCTTAAAAATGTGACTGGAAACTCAACAGACAAGAGCACTGTGGATAACAAGGGATTTGATATTTTTTTTGCCTGCATTTTCACTGTAACCGTGGTAGTGGGTGTCATTGGAAATGGGCTGGTCATATTTCTGGCCGGCTGCAGAATGAAGACGACTGTCAACTCCATTTGGTTTCTGAATTTGGCGATTACAGACTTCATCTTTTTTTTACTTTCAATCACAAATTATTTCTTAATCGTGAGTAATCAGCACAGTGTCTTCACAGGCAGCCTTTTTAGCATTTCATTTACACAAAATGTGTTTGTTAGCGTTTGGACTCTTGTAGTTATTAGTCTGGATCGATGCCTGTGCACATGGATGGCTGTTTGGGCTCAAAATAACAGAACTTTGCGTAAAGCCAGAATCATCTGCATCATCATCTTTGTTTCATCCATAGTCTACATTTTACCTTACTTCAACCTTTTTGAGACTACATTTACAATTCGTGCCACATATGGATTTATATTGTCCTTTCTCATCCCCTTCCTGATCATTGCATCTTCATACATCGCTATTGGAGTAAAAATCAATCGCCTCAAAAAGAGGAAGCAGCTCAAGCCATACAGACTCATTATAACTGTAATCCTGACTTTCTTCATCTGTTCATTTCCACAACATGTTTGCTATTTTTTGATGGCAAAAGCAGAAAAGAATAATTGGACTCTCCCTTATCAGTTTTGGAACATATTTATTTTTACTCTCTACCTGGTTAATCTCAACAACAGTCTGAACCCATTTCTCTATGTGTTCATGTGTGATGATTATAAGAAGAAGCTGAAACAATCTCTGCTGCTGGTGCTGGAGACGGCGTTTGCTGAAGATCATCTGGACATTAAAGATATAAGACAGACACAAACAGATGAGCAAGAGATGAAAACCACACATGAATTGCTAAAAATGTAGAATCTTTTTTTTTTTTTGGGGGGGGGGGGGGGGGGATCTTTTAAATCATTGCTAATACTGCATATAATTATCACAGTTAAACAGTAACTGTCATCTGTATTTAGCATAATTTTCTGTCTAAGACATCTCTTGTAAATTATAGATTTATAAATCCAGGTTTTGTGCTTGGTTTAGTTTTGTGTTCTTGTTTTCAGTGTCTGTATATTCACTTAGGGCTGATTTCATTGTTTAGTTCAGTGTGTGTATTTAAGTCTCAGTCTGTTTTTGTAGAATTTTTTTTGACGTTGACCTGTTTGTCTATTTTATTAGATTAAAAGCATTGCTGTGTGCATAATTTATTTCTATTTTCTTTAATCAGTACTAACACTTTGTTTATTAGTCGGATGACCAGTTATGGATTTTTTATGATATCGGCTAAATAGTTAAAGTCATTTTAAAGCTTTTTTGTTTAAGTCTTGTTAATTCTTGTTTAGGTGGCAGATTCCAGACACTAGTTGTGTCATGTTTCAAATGTTGTAATCTCTCTTTCATGTCTGTCATGCCAAATCCTGTCAAGCCTAGTATGAGTGTGTATTAATGCTGTTTTTCCCCAGGAATGTTTCAGTTGTTTTGCTTTGTTTTTGGAAAATAAAATCCTTCATTTCTGCAATTGGGTCCTCGCGTCATCTCCTCCATCCCCCATACGTGACCATTTTTATGTTCCATTTATCAGTCAAAACTGTGCTTAGAAATTTTTTTGTCACAGAACCTACTGGGCCCCACTCAAAAGACATCATATCAATGCCTCCTTTAGTCCTTTCTGTGATAAATGTCCCAACCAGGAACTTGGATCTTTTTTCCATATGATGTGGGAATGTGAGAAAGTACAAAGATTTTGGAATGAGATACTGTATGTGTCATCCTATCAAAAATTATTGATTATCCTGTACCATTGAATCCTTCTGTTCTATTACTGAGTGATGATTCTACGTTGAACCTTACCAAGCTACAAAAAGCTATTTGGCTGGCTGACTTAAATTCTGCTAAAAAATTACTAGCCCAACATTGGCTGCCTCCACATAATTTGGACATGTACAAGTGGTTGGTACAACTTTAACATTATAATGTTGGAGTTATCCACGGTGCGAGTTGAACTTGGTACAAATGAGTACATTACAGATCTGGACTTTAGGTGCTGACAAAATCTCCTTGTTTATTGCACAAAGAAATTATCAGGATCCAGAATAATTGCCTTGCTTTGTTTAATTGATATTTGATACTGTCTTCTGTTTTTGTTTTTATGTTAACTTATATTCATTGTAAAGCCCAGTTTTAAGAGACCGCAGGGGAGGGGGGTGAAGGTTTTTGAATTGATATGTTTCATTATATAGGTTTTTCAGCCTGTATGTTTTGTTAATAATTAATAATAATAATTTTATAAAAAGAACTAATCATAAAATAAATAAATAAATTGTGTTTAGAAATTTAAAAAAATTGTAGACAATATGTCCTTTATATTAACATAGCCTATCTGCTATTAAAAACATAAAAATATCTAGCGTTAGTTATAAATGCAGTGTTAGTTTAGCATACAGGGCCCGTATTCACAAAACACTTTATCTTTTCATCTTTCTTTATTTTATCACGAAGAGTTCTCTTAAAAAGCAGTAACAGTTTTTAGCTCAGACAAGCTTTTACTAAGGAATAGAGAGGATACTTAAGCGAACAATATCTGAATTATTGTTTTGGATTTTTATTCCAGCTTAGGCTCATTCTGAAAACGTAGCCCTATTTACATTTCTGGAAATTGCAAATAATATATTACGTAAAGTACGAATCACTGTTGGCTAAATTAAAGATTGTTTAATTCTTAATTTTTGAAGCTGCTAGTTTAAAAAAGCAGTGCTGTTTTAAAATGTCCATATCATTCAGAGAGTTATTAAGTAGAAGAAATCAAGCTTTACTTTTCTGTTTCATGGATTGCATTTAAGTGAAGTTTCATAAACTAATTTCGAGAGGAGCACGTGATATGATTGTGCACCGCTGGCCACTCATCCGTAATCAGTAAAATCCAATCAGAATGATCCTAGATTAATATAAAGGGATCACTTTCTCCTTATTGCTCTATCTTCGTTTTGGAAGAATCCCCCCTTCCACCCCATCTCCTCCTCTTTTTTTTTCTCCCCTTTTAAAGGAGGAGCAATCGAGACCTACCTGATCTCGGTTCTCCTGATATGCTTCTAGACCAGGCGGGAGCCCTGGGCTCAATTATCTCCGAGCTCAGAGTTCTCTCCCAGGACAGCATGCCAAACCTGCTATAAGTGCCGAGCATATCTAAGTGGGAACTTTCAATGGAAATACTCCACTATTTAGAGCAAGGTAGGGCCTCAAAATTATTCTGCTTAGGGCCCCCAAAATATACAGGGCTGGCCCTGATTGGAACTGAACTTTGGCAGCTGATGATGACATTACACTAGAACACGAGGACGCAAGACCACTGAAGAAGGCATATTGAGAAAGAGCCCATATATGAGAAGTGAAGTGGTATATGTTGAGTCATCTGAGTGAGACGCGGTTTCCATCTGTGAGGCATTGTGAAGTGCGGGTAAAGTTATTGGTAAGTAAGTTTGTTCCTTGACGACACGTTTGTAATTACCCTTGTGTGTTTGATATTAAGTCTGTGATGTTGTTAATGACCCGCAATCGGCCGCAAGCTTTAATTTCCGTGTGAAACAAAAGTGAAAGTTGTCATCGTTGGCATCTTGTTTGTGTTTGATTATGATTCAGTGTACTATATTCCTGATGCTGATGGTCATTGCTAATGACCATATTTAGTCTTATCAGGATGCACCAGGGTTTGCTCTGGTATAAAGCCAACTACTGGTCAGCACATGCAAGACGAAACAAGATCAAGACTTGACTCTTTCCACTGCATTGACATCTCAAAACATGGGTAAGAAATTAATATCTATTAAGCATATTTTATATTTATAAAAACCTCTCAGAATATAAATACAAGATTGTTTATATCACAAACACTGCATAAAGATAATACAAAATCCATATAATTAAGTACAAGATACACATTTATTTTCTCAAACAAATGACCCTTCATACAAAGATGTCCTTCTAATGAATCCACACACTGCAAATGCAAAGTTATTCAATATTAAAAACTAATTATTGGTTTTATTCTAATGAGGTTTTATTAAAATGTTTGAGAGAAGCATGATCAGATATACTCTAATAGCTAATAGTTCAGAATTTAGCAGCACAATGACACACTGACAGTCCTTTCTGTGCTTCTTTGTTTAGAAAACAGCAGTTTTGGGCTTTTAAATGTGACTGGAAACTCAATAGACAAGAGCACTGTGGAGGACGAGGGATTTAAGATGTTTTTTTGCCTGCATTTTCTTTTCCACCGTCATAGTAGGTCTCATTGAAAATGGTCTGGTCATATTTCTGGCCGGCTGCAGAATGAAGACGACTGTCAACTCCATTTGGTTTCTCAATTTGGCGATTGCAGACATCATCTTTCTTTTAATTTCAGTCACAAATGTTTGCTTAATCTTGAGCAAGCAGCACAGTGTCTTCACAGACGTCTTTTTTTTCATCATAGCATCACTAAATGTGTTTGTTAGCGTTTGGTCTCTTGTAGTTATCAGTCTGGATCGATGTCTGTGCACATGGATGACCGTTTTGGTTCAAAATAACAGAACTCTGCGTAAAGCCAGAATCACCTGCATCATCATCTGGGTTTCATCCATCAGCTACATTCTTCGTTTTTGAGGTTACAAATACAATTATTGTCACATATGGATTTATAATGTCCTTTGTCATCCCCTTCCTGATCATTGCATCTTCACACATCGATATTGGAGTAAAAAACAAGTGATGTTTTCAATCAGCTCAAGAGCAAACCCCTATAAATAGTCAAACACGTCATACCTCTCTCGACTTCAGCATTGGCATTGGCACATCCAATCGCTGCAACCTTGTCCAAACAGCAAATTTCCATGAGGATGACATGGCTCCTTCTGCAAACTCCAAGCCGACGTCCAGCGCATCAGCACTGAGCATATCAACAGAGGCTGTGGTCTTAACTTAGGCCCGCCACACCGCCGCTCTTCCAGACACCAGCAACAAACCTGAGCCGCTCCCTAGTTTCGGCAACCACCGGCCCATATCAATTGAGTGCCAGGCTGCCGCTCTACACAGCGAAGTGCCACCATCGACAGATTTGCCATGACAGCGTGAGCACGTCTCCGCTACGGCCTTGTCTATCCCCCACCCGTGGAGCATTTCCACTTAGTATCGCCACTGCTTCGTGGCATGTCAAAATTAGGAATAACAAGCCTATTCGCTCGTAAGTGTGACGTCACACAAATCGGCTTCTGGGTCCAAGCGCTCTATTCAACTGCATGGGAGACTCGTGAAATGGTAATTATAACGTTTACAAAGCGATTTAATACTTTCGAAAATCACGATCGCAATATATATGTCCATGCCTCATATCCGATTGGCATTTCACGAGTTCACACTCACAGATATTTGACTTAATAGAATATGCGTATTTGGCGTGCTGTCCGGGGAGAGGGCTCTGAGCTCGGGAAGACACCCTAACTTGTGTTATTCCCCTTATCAGGATAAAGAGAGATAGGGTCCGAGCGCAGTGTCTAGCCCGACTCCAGAACGCTCCCCCTCAGATTCAAATAGGTATTTGGTTTAATAGTGTAGAGTTGGGGTGGTGGAGGGAGGGCTGAAGTCGAGAGAAACAGAGGTATGACGTGTTTGACTATTTATAGGGGTTTGCTCTTGAGCTGATTGGATAATAGAATGATTGCGTGTGTGATGAATTAGCCTTGTCAAAGATTGATCGTGCTCCTCCCAAAATTTGTTTATAAAACATCACATCATGAGTTCACGCTCACAGATATTTGACTGAATAGAATTCGCAGTTTGTTTTCCACTATTTGGCGTGCTGTCCGGGGAGAGGGCTCTGAGCTCGGGAAGACACCCTAACTCGTGTTATTCCCCTTATCAGGATAAAGAGAGATAGGGTCCGAGCGCAGTGTCTAGCCCGACTCCAGAACACTCCCCAAAGATATTTATATTTAATAAATACATATTTATAGAAGGACAGCAGCCAGACAGATTTCATGGACCCCCCAAAATATGACACTGTTGGTGTGGGTTTCCTCCGGGTGCTATAGGGGAACTGAATAAACTAAATTGGCTGTAGTGTGTGATTGAGTGTGTATGGATGCTTCCAGTACTGGGTTGTAGCTGGAAGGGCATCCACTTTGTAAAACATATGCTGGAATAGTTGATGGTTCATACCCCTGAGGCGACCCCAGATTAAATAATGAGACTATCCCAAAATGAAAATGAGTGAATGAGTGAGAATTATCTGTTGTCTTTTAGACTCGACTCATACATTTTTAGGCCAAAACCAATTACTTTTTATCCCTCCTTCCTGCTTCATAGCATGGTTAGTTAAAATAAGATCAGGTTTGACAATGCATGAGCTCTGCATATTTTTTCGATGTGCATGATAACAACTGGGATTTCTCTTCTGTCTTCAGATGTGCTGCTGAGGTTTCTCAGTCCCACAGTTGCAAAAATGTCTTTCTAAGTATTTTGAATGTATTGTTGAATTTACTGTAATGT